CAGGGCAGGGCAGGGGTTCCCATAGCAAGGCGGGGGTCCCCATGGCAGGGCGGGGGTCCCCATGGCAAAGTGAGGGTCCCCATGGCAAGGTCGGTGTCCCTATGGCAAGGTGGGGGTCCCATGGCAAGGCAGGGGTCCCCATGGCAAAGTGAGGGTCCCCATGGCAAGGTGGGTGTCCCCATGGCAAGGCAGGGGTCCCCACGGGAAGATGAGGATCCCCATGGCAAGGCGGGCGTCCCCATGGCAAAGCAAGTGTGCCAGCAGCTGGATGAGGATCCCCACAGCTGGGTGAGGGTCCCCACAGCAAGCTAATGGTCCCCACAGCTGGGTGAGGGTCCCCCGTGGCCAGGCGAGGGTCCCCGCAGAAGCCTGAGGGTCCCCATGGCTGGGCCCTGCCCTTGCCCACCCTCACCTGCATGTGGCCTGGAGTGGGGGGAGCCCTGGGGGGTCTCTCAGCCTCGGGGGGGGCCCAGGGGGTCCAAGCCCTATGGAGGGCCCAGGGAGCCCAGGGGGGCTGAGCCCTGGGGTCAGCACAAAGGGCACCGAGCCCGAGTTTTTTTTAGGCCACCCCCCTCCCCTGGGCAGCCCCCCGCCGCCGCCGCCGCAGCGAGGCCCCCGCGTGTCCATCCTGCGGGGTGGCGAATGGAGCTGCCTATTGATTCGCAGCCCGGGCTAAAAATAACTTTCAACTCTTCATCCCGAGCTGTGAAAAATCCCCCATTGCTAGGCGACGGGTTACCTGGAGACAGCCGGCGCTAGGCGACGGCGGTTGCTGCGGCGACGGCACCCGGCGCACTGCGGTCCAGCTTTGGCACCGGTGGTCCGGCTGGATGGGTGATGCTCGGCCCAGGGTCCCATCACCGTTGGGGACAGCTGGGTGCGTGGGGTGAGACCCTGCAGCACCCCCGCAGGACGGGGGGGACGGGAGGGCAGCGGAGGCCAATGGGGTGCTGGCGGTTTGCATAAAGATGAGTTGTGGAGGAGCGGTCGTGCTTGGTTCTCGGCTGCCGCCCTGGCCTGAGCGTGGGGACAGCGGCCACCACCCGGGAGGGACGATCCCCATGGACCAGGGGGGCTCAGGGGGCCTGGCCTGCCACAGTACGGGGTGACAAACCGGGGCTGCCTGCGGCTGCAGGGTGAGCCGGCGCGGCCGGGCACCCCACATCGGGCACCCCCGGGTGCGGGTACCCCCCTGGGCTGGCAGCACGAGGGGGTCCACCCCAGTCGTGTCCCCTCCACTGGGGACATGCACTTGGAGACTCCCCTTGCCCAGGCACTCCTCCAGCGGTGACCCTTCTTGGCATGAAGATGTCCCCAGGACAGGGGGCCACCCCAACATGTCCCCTCCGGGGCCCGGAGCTGGCAGGGGTTAGTGTCAATGGGGACATGGCAGGACCAAGGGGACAACAGGGACCATCTGGGACCCAACTGCCCCGCTGGGGCTGGGCTCAGGGGGTGTCCAGGGGTGCGATGACAGCAAACAGTGCGTGTCCCCCGAGGCTGGCCCACCACCCGCTGCTCCGGGGCTGCTGCTGGGTGACAATTCCCCTGGGACACCCCCATGGGGACAGGGCACCACGGCGGGGACAGGGCACTGCTGGGGGGACAAGGGGTCACAGGGGGAAGGACCCCCAGTTCCTCAGAAAAAGCCGTGTCACCTGGATGAGGCCACTGACCCGCACGTCCCCGCGGTCACCGGCCCCTCTGGCCCCCTTGCCTGCGGTTGTCACCCGCTGGGCAGCGTGGGATGAGGGTGTGAGTGTGAGTGCGAGTGTGAGTGTGAGTGCTCGTGCCCAGTCTCCTCCCCCAAGCCCTCTCCCAGCTGCCAGTGCGAAACCCGACCTGCCTTATAAATAATGGAGGCAGGAGCCAGGCGGCCGGAGCCAGGCAGCTCCATCAGCCTCCCCAGGGCCCGGCCGGGGGCAAGCGGCCGAGCTGGCCCCGCTGCCCGCATGGGGCCGTGCGAGGGGAAGGCGGAGGGGATGGGGTTAAACACAGCACCTAACCAGTTCCCTCCAGTTTGGGCAGCAGTGGTGAAGCTGGGCCCCAGACTGGGGGTGCTGGGTGGGTGCTGAGCTGGGGGAGATGGGAAATGGGGGGGCAGCAATGGGGTGTCCCCTGGCTGCGGGTCCCGCCGCCAGCTGCAGCCTGGGTGGGTGAACCCCCCCCGGCACTCGGGTGCAGCACCCTTCCCTGGGTGCCCGCAGCACCCCAGGGTGCTGGAGCTGGAGCGACCGTCTCTGCTGTGCCTCAGGGAGCCGGCTGCCGGGGTGAGAGGGGTCTGCACCGGGACCTCCAGCCTGCCAGCGCCCTGGTGGGGAGAGAGCCAGAGGAAGCATCCGTCTGTCCGTCCCTCCCTCCCTCCATTTCTCCATCCCTCCCTCTATCCTCCCCTCCATCCCTCCATCCCTCCATCCTTCCATCTCTCCATCCCTCCTTCCACCCCTCCATCCCTCCATCCATCCCTCCATCATCCCTCCATCTCTCCATCATCCCTCCATCCCTCCATCCATCCCTCCCTCCGTCTCTCCATCCCTCCATCCCTCCATCCCTCCAGCTCTCCATCCTTCCCTCCA